TTCCAGAGTAAAGCAAAACATAGCAAGCAGAAACTGTTAACAGGATGGCATTCTACTCTGTAGCTTTCAAGGCCGTTGGCTGTTTTCTCCTCAGCGGCCAACCTTCCCACGCTGCTCACCCGGGCCTGAGAGCCTGTCAGCTTGCCAGCTTTCAGGCTTAACCCTTACTGCAGACCTCCGGCTCTCCACAGTTCATAACATATAGAAATCAGATTAGGTGGTTGCTAATGTTTCTTTACGCTTAAGCATTTATGTTCTCCATAATGTAGCCCCCATCAACAAGAAGCAGTTTCTGTATTAAGTACTCCCTCCTGACTATGAACTGGCGTCCAGCTGTCCATCATCTGCATCATCGTGGTCTTCACTCTGGGCTGGGCACTGGGCCAGGCCAGCCAATCCCTCACAGGATTTGATTCTCCCCTCACCCTATGAGACAGATTTCCTTTTTACAGATAAAGATCTGAGGCTTGGGCGAGGTCACCCCCATGGTATGAGGTAAAGCCAGGCTAGGAACCCAGGTCTCTGTGCTCCAGAGTATGTGTTCTGTCAATCACCTGCCAGGACTCTGAGCGGATGGGGAAGCTCCGCCTTGGAAAAGGAGCTGAGCCATCTGTAGCATCAACCCCATAGACAACTGCAGGGAGCTGGGAAGGTCAACACTCTGAAAGTCCTCCGGGGACACACACACAGACTATAGGGACTGTGTCAACTGTGGCTGAATTAAGCACAAAACTAGATTTCTAATCTTGGCTGCACTGGAACATAGTAGTTGCTAAATAAAGATGAACTAAATGATGTTGAATAAGAAAGGAGTTTATCTGTGTGAGAGATGGAAGATGGAAATGTGCTGGAAAGGCACCCTCCCAGCACAGCTGGGCATGCGCTGCCTCTTAACCCATCTTCTTCTTGGCCTTCTGTTGGGCTTTGAAGCCAAGCCCTTTGAAGCACAATAGGCCCTGCCCTCTTCTCCCTCTCCAGACACCCTCCTGGGGGTGGAGGAGGGTGAGCCACCCACTTGTATGACACATATCCCACTTAGGAGCAGGCAGGTAGCTGACTAGCATTGACTTCCAGCTAGGGTTTCTCCCTGAGTGTCAGTCCACACATATGAGTGTGGCCCACAGGCCCGTGGGTTCTGCTCCACATCTCTGCCCAGTGTGGTACACAGGCCCATGGGTTTCAACATAATGTCAACCTCGGTACATACTTGCTTCCTGTCTTGTATTTCTCATCTCAATTAAGGGCATGCCACCTCTGCAGTTTCCCAAACTAAAAATATTGGAGTCGTCTTCAGCTGCTCCCCTGCTTGTTCATTCCCATGTCCTATGAATCTGCCTTAGCTCCTCCCTCCTCTTCATGCCCACTGTCAATGCCCAGGTCTGACCCTTGACTCTTTTACTTGGATCCTCTACAGTCTTTTATGGCACAGTCTGGCCTCTGTGTCATCCCCAGAATGTTCTTCTCAAATCTATGTCTGAACAGGTCACCCTGTCACCCTGGCTGGTTCCATACTGAGAGTAACACCCACTGTGCATTCAGAGCTATGCAGATTTGTTCTGACCTGGATGAGCAATTGGTTCCTACCATTCTCCTCTAGAAGCCTCCCACACACACACACCGGGGACTGCCAGACATGCCATTACTGTCCCTCTGTGCCTTTGGTCTTCTTAAAAGCAGTGCAGAATAGTCACAACCATCCCCATGCACCATTTACCTCATTCATCCCTGTCCCTTCCTGGACACCCTTTGGGCAGAATTCATTATTTTGTTCTCTTTGCAATTTGCATTCATACATTACAGCTAACATAGCACCTCATTCATTCAGGCAGTCATTAACAAGCCTACACTAAATGCCTTCTGACCAAAGACACCTCTATAATAAGTAAATGAATAGCACCTATTGCCCTGATTGGTGATTGGTGTGTGAGAATCACTGCTCCAGAATGGATCTAATACTCTGTATCTCAGAAATGGGTACAGTGCCTTACACATAAAGGTGTCAATAAATCAGAATGGTTGGGGAGCTTGACTGTAAGCTGAGTATTAGGTGCTACTAGGTCATTTTAATTTGTTAGGAGTAATAACATCAGTATAGTATACTTGAGAATGTTCTTGTTTCTCCAGAGATGCAAGTTGAAAAATTTTATGTGAAGGGGTTCAAATAAAAATACACATAAATAACAAGCAAATATGTCAAAATGTTGACAGTGGTTGAATCCAGGCACTGGGGTGCCCATGTAATGTCTTTATATTTGAAATTTTTCACAATATAAAGTTTTTAAAAGGTGAGTTGACTTGAATTGACTAGACCCATTTTCTCATCTATCAAATTGAGGGTGTGTCTTAGTCTGATCCGGCTGCTCTAACAGGATACTATATAGACTGGGTGGCTTATAAACAAACATGTATTGCTCACAGTTCTGGAAGCTGAAAGTCCAAAACCAGGGTGCCAGCGTGGTCTGGTTCTGGTGAGAGCGCTGTTCCTGGTTCATAGCTGGCTGTCTTCTCACTGTCTCCTCACATGGCAGAAGGGACTAGGGATCTCTTTGGAGCCTCTTTTATAAAGTGCTCTCCCATGCCTGCGGACCCCACCTCACGATTTAAGCATGTCCCAAAGGCCCCACCTTCTAATACTATTAAATTGGGCACTAGAATTTCAATATGTGACTTGGGCAGGGGGACACAAACATTCAGGCCATAGCAGGGTGTCAGTAGAGGAGCAGCTAATGATCTCTTAAGGCCCCATCTAGCGGCTCTGGGCAAGAAACACCCCTACCCGCACCTCCCACATCTCCTTCGGTAAGCCCTGGAGCTGGGGAGTTCCCAGCAGACTCCGTGGGGTCCAGGACTCTGGAGGGAAATTGCTTTGGGCTTCATTATTTCTGCAAGTCAAGAGGCTTGTTGGCACCAGTGACTCTGAAGGGGAAGAAGTGTGTGTTTGTTTCTGTGAGTTCATTTGAGGAGGAGGGCAGGCACAAGGGGGCATGATTTAAGCGACTAAGCCAACGTGCTGAAACCAAGTTGAATCAAGAGAAGGGAGCTTCAGGTCAAGCTACAGCTCTTTGGAAACATGGCTTACAATAGGGCAGTCAGCAGTTGCTAATAATTCGTAGAACCAATCACTTGATTATGTGCAGGAGAGCATGCACTAGCAACTCTCTATCCCAGAGTTTACACCTTTCAAAGGGCTAGAATTAGGGGATTGTTCAATCTTTAACTGGCTCAAGAGACTTTTGCTTCAATTTTGTAATTAAGAGATCTATTGAATCCCTGACAAGCGCTACCCCTACTCCTCTTCAGAGGTCGAAAGTGGACGTTTGTGCAAGCGTGACTTGGATAGAATCGTCCTCAGCCCTGGCTTGGTTCCCTCTTTCCTTCCTTGCTCTGAGAAAGTCCCTTACCTATAGCTAAAAGATTGTCAATGAAGTCCAAATGGTTCCTTTATCCATTCTGTCCCCAAATGCCCTTCTTACTGTTCCTAAATGCCCATGATACAGCGGGAAAGCAACAAGAAGGAAGCCAAAGAGCTTTGTATCCGGGTATCTGAGGCAACGTCCTCACTCTGCAAGAAACCAGCCGGCTCAAGAAACTTGGAGCTTGGAGTCAGGAGCCCCAGCGCTGACTGGTCAAGGTCTGGGGGTCACTAATGCAAACAACCCCTGCCTCACTCTCTCCACCTGTGGTCTAGGTTTAAAACAACACATCACCTTTACACAGCCAAGGTCATACTGTCGGGATTAGTAATGTCACCAATTGCTCCAACCTCCATAAAGTGCGAGGTAAATATACTGACGCGCGACCATAAAGTGACCCGCGGAACATCTGGGGCTCCAGGGTCATCGGTACCATTCTCTCCAGCCGCCTCGGAGAGCCCCTCCCCTCGAGCGGGCCCAAAGGGGCGAAGACCCCTACGAGCTCCCAGAACGCTAAGCCGCGAACTTCAGCATAGGCGAGCCCATTGCCAAGGTCCTCGCCCTGCGGAGGTCAGGCCACGGCTGGAGGGTTGGCCGGGAGGGGCGGGGCGGGCAGCGGAGCTTTAAGAGGTGGCGCGCGAGGGAGGGGATAGGCGGCTTCTGAGAGGGGACCTGAGCGATGGAGACGGCCAGGGACTACGCGGGAGCCCTCATCAGGCAAGTGCGGTGCTAGCGGGGCTCAGGACTACGCCTGCGGCCCCTTACGCCCCGTGCACTCCCCCCCATTCCCGGAGCACCCCGCATCCTCCTCCCCTGCTGCGCCGGGACTCCCCCAGCACCCAACGCGCCCCGCATCCTGGCGCTCCCAGAAGCCCAGGTCCGGGCGCACTCACCCATGTCCCCGGCGCCCACGCCGCTTGCGAGCACTGCAGGCGGAGCCGGAGCCCGCCGCGCGTCTCCTCCGCCTCCAGCTGGCCTCAAGTGCCAGGTGTGGCGCGTGCGAGATGTGCGGGCGTCCGCGAGACAAGTGACAGTGGTGAGTGTGGGAGGGGCCGCATCTCTTGCCTTGGCAGCAGCCGGGGTTGCAAATAAGGACTCCATCTCGGGAACTCAGAGCAACACTTCCAAGGTGCGTAGGAACAAGGCTTCTTGGGGTCCTCCGTCTCGTGAACGGAGCTGGGGCGTGGGGAGGGGCGCTAGTGGGGACTCGGCGGCCTCAGGGCAGCCCAGGTTTAGCCCTCGCGGCGAGTGCGGCCTCTGGGCTCCAACGCGAGGGTGGGCTGACCCGGTACGCGTCTCTGGTTCGCTGAGCCCATTTGGGTTGTACTGGGGAATTTGGAGAGAAGCGCTCCATCTCTTTGCCGCATCCGAAGGCGATGACTCTGCCCCGGGAGGAACCAGAGGCCTGCGGACCCCGTAGTCTCTTTGCCTCGCTCCACGCGAAGCGCTATTGAAGGCCTGGCATCACTCCTTTCCCCGTTGGGCTCATTTCACATCCTGACTTACCCCACCAGTCCTTGTTGGTAAGAGCCTAAAGATTCTGCGTGGCAGTAACTTTATAGATTTAAGGAGCAATGATGTTTCTCTGAAGATTTTCAAAGTACTTCAAAGAGGATGGAGAAGACTTGAGAACTTTAAAATGCAGGTTTTCAGAGGTGACTGATCCCATTATTATGGAGGAGTGGGGGGACAGGGTGAATGAAAGGGAAGAATCACTTTACAAAACTAGTGTGATCTATAGGTTTCTGAACTTGGGCTATTAAGGGGGGCTGTGTGTAATACTCAAGGTTAGAAAAATAGCTGCCAAAATGTAAGGGTGATCAGTTTGTCAGACACTGGCTTTCTCTTCAAAAACAAATAAAAACAAAAAACGTAAGTCAAGCAGTGAAACCTGGGGAAGGTGAGAAACAGACCTGATTTGTGCATTTTAACATGGATTAAGCATAAAGGTAAGGCCCTTGGTTTCTTTCCTGTTTTCTTTTTCTCTTTCCAGTACCACCCACCCCACACTCCCACTCCCAGAGGTAACAACTGTGAATAGTTTGGAGTTCAAGTGCATCCTCCAAACTTTTGTCCTATGAACAAACACCCATTCTCCAAGGTCCTTTTGGACACTGAGGAGCTCCTGGGCTGAGTTTTAAGTATGGATAGAAGGCACTAGCTCCTCACTGGAGCAGGAGGAGGAGGCAACACTTGCAGAATTAAGGCTGACCCTGCCCTTGCATCTGACCCCTACAACAGTGTCCCCAAATCCAAAATGTATCTGTGTGAGGTTTCCACAGGGTCAAGTGTGTGGTGGTGTGGTGAAAGCAGCTTGTTTATGAAATGTTGGCAATCAACACATAAGGAAATATCTAATCTGAAACACATTCCTTTTGAACTTGGCAAACTCTAGGTGTGAGTGACTATTTGTTGGAACACACTGTTGTCACAGTTCTTTGAAAATCTACCTCCTTCCAAACTGAGCTGCTATAGTTCTTTGGAATCTACCTGCTTCCAAACTAAACTGGAAGAAAACAGTCTGTAATACTTGTTCAGAAATAAGTAAGTTAAAAAAGCAAGCAAAAGAACACTCTTTTCTTCCCCACCCTTCCTTAAAACCATGTCCAGGACCAAGTTCCGCATGAGCCACAACAAGGTAGACTGCCACATTTATATACGTTACGGTCTTGTAGGACTTCTGTCTCTGCTCCTTAATTTAAACTAGCTGGTAGAGTATGTCCAAATTCTGTTTTTTTGTTATATATAACTGCATTTTGCCAAGGAAGTAACTTAATCACTGTGCCCATCGTTTTTTAAGATCAGCTACATATAAGCAATTATCAAATCTTAAACCAATTGTTAGTTTGTTAATCGTCTGTAATCACTAGAGCCCTTTGTCACAACGAAAGCAGCCTGAGGTCTCTTACCACACATTGGACTTCAACACCCACCTGTGGACATCCTTGAAGTCCAACATGTGCTAAGTATGTTGTCCCAGACAAAGCCTGCTCTGTCTTTGTGTCCCATCAGTGATAACATTCATGCCAACTCTGAAGTTGTTATAAAATTGATGTATTATATTTTGTGCAAAATAGCTGCTTTTATAGCTATTTAGTACATCCTTCCTTTTCTTGAACAAGAAGCTCGAGGTTTTGTCTAGCTGCCATTTCAGTACAAGTTTTACCACAGTTGTCTTAGGAATATAACCAATGAATTGAGTTTTCTACAAGTAAATCTCTACAGCTCATGGAGACCTAGCCAGGGCTGATGAATACTTTCCAAGCTGACTTATTTCTCTGCATTCCCATATTTGCCACCACCACTTCCCTTCTTAACATTCTCATTGTTACTCTTGCCTTTGGCAATAGTGCTCAGTTGACTTATATCCTACCCCTGTCTGTTCTTTATTACTTCATATAAGTTACTCCTTTTCCACCTAGCAATAAAATGTGAGGTTTCCTCAGTCATTGTTTCACTCTGAATAGTTCCTGGGTAGTATCTTACCTGACTATATAAAGCCACTTCATCACTGCTGACACCCAAATGTTTCTCTGGCTCAGAGAGGCCTTGTTCCCAGGACTGCCTTTTTCTCCAGCACTTTCAGAATAAACATCAGTCCATAGGGGGGCCATATAAAGATGCTTTCTTATTACCTGTGGGGGTTAGCTTTGTTTTACTGGAGTAAAATTCACATCCACTGTCAGTCTAGTCTGTGTTTGTCACTTTATTTTGCACACTTTTATTTCTCCCTCAGGGGGGAAAAATACAAAGACTCTCTGTTTCCCTCACTTCTGGGAGATATGCCGCTTCACAGTTTTCAAGATTAATTCTATGAAGTCTGACTTATCGTCTTGATTTCCTTGAAACAATCTATTTCCTTGAACAGCCCTGTTTCCCTGTTTTTGTTGTTTTTGTTTTTCCTTTTAGTGCGCTATTTCCTTTCCTGCTTCATATGATAGTCTGTACTTTCCCAGGAGTTTGAGGTGACTGAAGTACGTTATATCTAAAAGCAGAATTCTAAGGCTTCTCAGTGTTCCTATTTAAACATTATTATATTAAGAAGTTAAGGAAGAATAGCAACACACTTTAGGCATTGTGCCAATGGTCAGTGACATAAATTATTCTATTAAGACCAAAAGTGAGTTGGATTAATACATTGCTTTGTTCATGTAGCTAGCTGATTAACCCTGCTGTGCATCTAGCCAGAGCAGATGAAGCTCTCATATAGTATTTGTTAAATAGGTCTAGTGCAGCGGTTCTCAACCTGTGGGTCGCGACCCCTTTGGGAGTCAAATGACCCTTTCACAAGGGTCGCCTAAGACCATTGGAAAACAAAAAGATATTTATATTACGATTCATAACAGTAGCAAAATTACACTTATAGAGTAACAACGAAAATAATTTTATGGTTGGGGGTCACCACAACATGAGGAACTGTATTAAGGGGTCGCGGCATTAGGAAGGTTGAGAACCGCTGGTCTAGTGTATGTAAAATTTAACCCCTTTATATGTTGTATATAAGATAGTCTTGTTTTTACATAATTTGGCACATCAAATCACTCATCCTGTTCCTTGAAAAGAATGGCAGAGGGTCGGCTGAGTGGCTCAGTTGGTTAAGAGCTCACCCAAGAGTGTGAGCTCTGAGCAACAGGGTTACCAGTTCAATTCATGGCCCGAGCTGAGCTGCCGCTGAGCTGCTAATAGGTGGGAGGATGGCTCAGCTAAAAAAAATAAAATAAAATAAAAAAAGAATAAAAAAAGAAAAGAATGGCAGAATTTAATTTCCATGTCTTCAAAGATTTTCTTATGTGTGCTCCACAAGCCTTTTCTCCAACAATGACCCAGGTTTCTGTTAGGAAACATAACAGGTAAGACGAATAATAGACTCAATATCCTTTTTTATTAGGAGTGGCTACCTTAAGGGCACTGTGAAGAGAAAGTACCAGAAATGACTGCCAGCACTTATCTTGTCAGAGTTAAAAGACAATAAAGAACTTTGTATAATCAGCTGTGCTAGGTCACTGGAGCATTGGTGCTTACGAAGGTGTGAGTGTTTGCATCCAATGAGGAGGTACAGAACCACAACTAACTAGGTCAAAGTCATTCATGCCCACAATGTGTGCCATTGACCACCAAGGGCTGGACCTAAGCTTCTAAGACATGAACTTTGTTCTCCCATTTTTCTGATTTTTGTCTTAGTTTATCTTTTACTCAGTGACTAGATCACATGCCAACAGGGGCTTAGGCGCAGTGGGGAAGTAAAAAGGGTACAGACAGACACTGGCCTTGGTAGGCATAGATTCTAAAAGGCCTCATGGGCAATGGCAATGACTTCCTGCTGTGGGGAGGAGAAGATCTTGCCAGTGAAGGTCCAGGGTTCCCCTGTACTATAGGAGGGTTTTCACCTGGTAAGGCAGGCACCATGATGTGAAAGCAGGAGCTGGATTCAAACCCCTGTGCTAGCACTTGCTAACTCTGACCTTATTAATTGCGTAATGTTCTGAGCCTCAGTTTTCCTTATCTGTAATACTTGTCCTGTAGAATTATTAGGTAATGTGCTAATGTATACAGTGTTTAGCACAGAACAGAACTTATATCTTTTTCTCTTTCTCCTCATAGGAATTTTGCCTATGTTTAAGTAAGTTTAAGTTTCAGATGCTATGATTAGGTTGAGCACAAAGCCAGGTTCTAAATGTAAAGCATAATATGGATAATCCTCACTGCCCTGTCTACTAGGTCACAGGGATGAGACTGAGTGAATTCTCTGTAGCATCAGCTCATCAGAATGTGGGCATCTTGTTCATCATGTTGTGTAATCAAGGAACCTGGCGTAACTGCATGGTATCAGGGCAAAAGTTCAGAGACTGATGCCAATCCCACTGTTGCGTTGGTTCAGGCTCTGACTTATTCAGTGGGTCTCTTGTTCTGATGGGGAGCCTGCATTGGAGACTTCTGAGCTGGCACAATTCCATTTTGCAGTTGTCTCCCTGGAAACAAAGTGTACAGCAAGTCTGGTGGCGTAAAGGGAAAGGAGCTAAGGATGTGAACAGAGAATGCTGTTGTCCTTTCAGTCATAAGGCAGCTCTTCCTCACAGTGTTCCTGACTGACGTTTACTGCTTGAGGTTTGAAGTTCAGAGAAATGATGTTCCACCTCTTTTCCTTATTAACTGAGTGTCCTTGAGAAACCACTCTGAGCCTAAGTTTTCTCTTCTGAGAAGATAGCTAATACATTCGTTGTAAGGTTTTGATAATATTAGTTAACATATGTGAAGAGCTAACACATCGCTGCCCCCAGCAAGTGCTCATATATGAGCACTTATGAGGCATAATGCGATACTGGCTTAATATATTTCAAGCCAAATTCTTAATGCCAATTCATTGGTGAGGTGTAGGGGTGAGGCACAGACACTATTATGGGGACCCTCCTGAAACATGGTAACATGAATTTGTTTGAGAGCTGGTCCATTATAATACTATCAGGTTTTCATACAGCAAATTACTTGGTAAGTCATTGACTTTCCACTTATGTCCATTTATAGAGCTTCAAGTTAAACAACATACTATGTAAAAGTTTTATGCCTAACACTAAGCTAGGCATTATGGGAGATACAACAAAGAAGCCTTTGTCCATAAGGAAATTCCAATGGGAAATAGTTGGGAAAATAAAGTATAGATAAATGACTGTGTATAAAAATAAAGTGCTAGGGATGACCGGTTAGCTCAGTTGGGTGGAGCGTGGTGCTGATGACACCAAGGTCACCAGTTCGATCCCTGCATAGGCCACTGTGAGCTGTGCCCTCCTTAAAAGAGTCAACTATGCCATTGTAGCATGAAAGCAATGTGTAACCAATGACCATGGCTGTTCCCCAATAAAATTTATAAGTAAGTAAATAAATAAATAAATAAATAAATAAATGCTAAATTCTATGTAATAGGCATTTGAAAACAGTATGGGTGTTCTCTAAAATTTTAGCCTTCACTGGGTTAATCTAGACAAACTGTTGTGTCAGAAAGCAGTGATGTCCTCACTTTGTATATTCTCATGTTTGTCCTTTGTATCTTTCGCTGCAGTCTCACTGTACAAGTACTTGTCCAAATTGTCAGCAACTATTTGAGCTCCTGAAATAGGTGGGCTCTTTTCTGGGTGTGGGAACAGTACAGCTATAGGTGATAGTCCCTCAGGGGCTGTGGGAATTAAATGAGGTCACATGTCACTTATCACAGAGTCCAGCACAGAGGAAGATCTGCCTGAAACATTGCTAATTTCTGTTTATATTCTTTTGACTAATTTCTTTATAAATATATTCCTAAGTATAAAAAAAGTCCACCATCTTGGGTGGAAGCTCTTTATACATTGCTGGACTGGTCTCCAAAGAAACTGAACCACCTTTAGTGCCACCAGCAATGCACATCTGTTTCTCCTCATGGAGTTATTTTTAAAGAACTTCTTGCATGTTGGTCTAAAGGTATGCAGTGGTGTGTCAAAACTGGTTTCTTATTTCTTTCATTGCTATCAAAAGCTTAATATGTTTACTAATATACAAAATTTTCTCATTCTTTAGTTAGTAACTAGTAGCATATGGTATTTAGATGACCTTTAAGAGGCAGAGAACTGGTGCCTGGGCTGAATCCCAGCTCTGGTTCCTACTAGCTGTGGGCAGCTAGGTCACTGGCCTGGTTTCCTCATTTGCAAATTGAGAAAACTAGGACTATCACAGAGTTTCTGAGGATTAAGTGAGTTAATATTTATAAAGCAAAATATGTGCTTGTATAATAACTTCTAAAGTAGTAAGCACCTTATCAGCTATTTCTCATTTATCCATTTTATTACTTTTTTATAGTTGCTAGGTAACTAAAATTTAATAACCAAGGGTTGAGGATTTTTTCCTCAGAAAATTAAGTCATGATTTTATTGCTACCATTATTTTCTTCCTCCATGTTAGTTTTTTTTTAATAGAGAAATTTTGAATTAATTCTTTGACAAATGTGGAACTCACTTCAAAGTATCATGTGACATATGGCCCAAAGTTTTTTTCCTTCTTGTTATTCCAACCACAGTTATTATAGTGTTCTGTTGTTCCTCATTTATCCTAAGTTAATTTATTTTTAATTTGCTTATTGCTATAGTGATTAATAGCTGACTTTTCAATTTATGTCTTAGTCTTATTGTACAAATATTGAACATTTGTGTGTGTGTGGGTGTGTGTCTGTGTCTGTGTCTAAGTTTTAAACTCTGCTTAGCTACTCCATGGTCTCTAGAAATCATTTTAGATTTTTCAGCTTTAAAACGTGTGTTTGCAGAATATAATTCTTATTTCTTTTTTGAGTTTAATGCCTTTATCATTTTTTTTTCAACTATTTACTGCAAGGACTTTGAATGTTCTAATAAAATAGGTGGAATGATGGTTGTAATTTTAATTTTATGTATTTTTTGTTTGCCCTTGGATATTGGGAGATAAATGTAGATAGATAGATAGATGGTAGATAGAATTTTTAGTAATTCCCAGCCATTGAGTTTCTTTCTTTTAGATGCAAATATTAAAATTGTTTTATTTCCGGTTAGCTCAGTTGGTTAGAGCATTGTGCTGATAACACTAAGGTTGCCGGTTCGATCCCCACATGGGCCACTGTGAGCTGCACCCTTCCTAAAAGAGTCAACTATGCCATTGTAGCATGAAAGCAATGTGTAACAAAAGACCATGGCTGTTCCCCAATAAAGTTTAAAAAAAATTGTTTTATTTCTGTGTACTTCAAAGCTTTCTTTAAAGACTCTTTTTAAAAAGTGACGTCAAATATATGTTTTACTGGGGCCGGCTGAGTGGCTCAGTTGGTTAAGAGCTCGCTCAAGAGCTTGAGCTCTGAGCAACAGTGGTTCGAGTCAGCCCGAGCTGAGCAGCCGTGAGCTGCCAACAGGTGGCGGGATGGCTCAGCTAAAAAAAAAAATATATATATATATATATATATATATGTTTTACTTTTCTCCTCCGTTTCCAGACCTCTGACATTTATGGGATCACAGACTAAGAGAGTCCTGCTCACTCCCCTCATGCATTCAGCTCGCCCCTTCCGAGTCTCCAACCATGACAGAAGCAGCCGGCGGGGAGTGATGGCAAGCAGTCTGAAGGAGCTCTTGAGCAAGGTACCATGGGCAACAGCCCAGGGTCTTGAGTACTAAGCCAATGCAGAGACAGAAATGTCCATCTCTTGGCCTTGGAGAAGGGGTGGAGGGGGGAGGATGCGGGGAGGGCCATTTCTAAGTGGCTAAAGGAGTATGAAAGAATGAAAGGAAACATTGTATTTCTGTACCATAAAATATTGAGGTACAGAGACAAAAACCATAAAAACAGTCATCAGTTGATAATGTAGCTTTATTTCTTTGACAAGGAAGAATATAGGGAAGCAGCAGACTTTGGAAATCTGTTTTTTGTTATAAAGGCTAAGGAAAAATAGTCCTTAATCTGAAAGTGTCCTAGATCACCAAATAAGAAAGTATCACATGGAGGCATAACCTAGACACAGGCACCCATGGAAATGAGAAATGAGTGTCCAACATGCAGGCTCTGAAGCAGGAGAGTCATTCATATACACCACCGAGACTCAGCCTCCTTAAATATCATATGTGCAGAATTTTTATTTGTCGAAATAAGTAGGTAATTTTAGAAACTGTAAATATTATTAAATGTAATCATTTATCTATGTTATTGAAATCTCTGAAGATAGGTTCCTTAAAAATTGTAACTTATTTTTTCCCAAACAAAGACTGAATCAGAGACAACAATTAATGTATATCTTGACCACTAAAATTTAATCAAAATCAGCCAGCTCTTCCTAAACTATAATGTAATCAATAGCTGTGAGTGGTCAAAATAGAATCTTCTGCTTCATTTCATGTCTCTGATGTGTTGCCAACCTAGACTCTGGATGCCCTACTTATCACCAGCGGGCTAGTCACTTTGGTGTTGGAGGAAGATGGCACCATGGTAGACACAGAAGAGTTTTTTCAGACCTTACGAGACAACACACATTTCATGATCTTGGAAAAAGGACAGAAGTGGACACCAGTAAGTAAACACACTGTTATCCAAATAGCTACTGGGTAGATTTTTACCTACAAAAGTGAATTCCCTACTTTGGTGTTAACTTGCCCACTTTCTAAATATATCCTTTATATTCACCTAATAACTGGGTCTATTACCCTCAAAGGGATTCTTATAAATATTTCTAGGAAATGTAGCATCTTTGTGAACCTGGGCTGTATGTGATTTAAAGCAAATAATTCTGAGGGACAAACTTTGGCCAATGAGTAGCTATAGATCCTGTTAAAGCTTGTAGATATGACCTGTTGACCATTTACTGTCTCTGTCCTCAGGAGGCTGGCAAGCTAACATAGCCAATGAAATTAGGTGTGTGTCAGAGGGGGGGAGGGGAGAGAGAGAGAGAGAGAGAGAGAGAGAGAGAGAGAGAGAGAGAGGAGAGAGAGAAAACAGTGATTTAGAAAAGTAAAGAGACAGAATAAAGGCTTCTATTTCTGGAAAAACTATAGATTATACATATCTTGGAAAAACCTCCCACTAAAAATGTTAAGCAAAATATTAAAACATCTTTTTATTGCCTAACTGACCTTTTAAGAAAGGGAAATCCTCAGGGGCCAAAAATTTTATGGGAGCCAGAGTCCATAGAAGAAAGCAAACACTGAAGCTGGCATCTCATTGGTGGGTATCTCAACCTGTGGGCATCCACTGACCTCAGTGACTAAGGGCTTCAGTTTTGATGGATGCTAGGAGAACAGTAGAAAAGTCTTGGGCTAACAGAAACAAAGTCTTGGGGATCAGATTAGGGATGCCCACATAAAGCAGAGAATCTTCAAGTTCTCTCCTGAGAATCTGTAGGATGGCTGCCCTAATGAAGTTTTAGGGACTGTTGATTCCAAATTCACTCAAGCTGAGAGTTTAGTTTATAGAGACCCAGGAAGGAAGCATCAGTGGACGGAGTTTACTCATTGAATTATCTTTATTCAAACAGTCTCTCCCTCCAGCCCCAGTGATCCAGGGTTGATGTTCCTTCATGTAACTAGCAGGAGCAAATAGACTTGGAATGAACATTGACCCAGACAGAAATAACAAAGTCAGACCTGCAAAGACCTCAGATGTTGGATCATCAGATACAGCATATATAATAAGTATATTTTTATGTTCAAAGAAATATAAAAGTAATCTAAAGTAAGAAGGAATAAGACGAAACAAAAAACTAGATATATGGAAAAATCAAATCGAATTTGTGGAAAAAAAAAAAACAAAACTCGGCACCTTGAGCTGAGCTGCCACCTGGATTGCTCAGTGGATAGAGTGTGCACTCTTAACAGCAAGGTTGCCAGTTCGACTCTCACAATAATGTGTGTGTGTATATATATATATACATATATATATATATATATATATATGGCAATTAAAATAAATGAAGACTCAAGCAGGACTAAAAATAATAATAAAAGACCAGGGAGATATATCTGAAGAAGTTTCCCATGATGTAACAAAAAGAAAGAGGTGGAAAACAGGATGGAAGTTGGAGGCATGACTGAGAAGATCTAATGTATGTCTATTTGGAATCCTCAGGGTATTATTTCTTTTTTGAACAAGGCTCAACAAACAAGCCATTTTTTAAATGATAAATTCAACTCCATTAAGAATTTTTTCATCAAAAGATACTACTGTAAAGGAATTAAAACAAAAAGCCACAAGTGGGAAGGAGGTATTTTCAACATAACCTGACAAAGTCTAAGTATTAGGCAAATTTGAAGAACTCACACAAATCAGTAAGGGAAACAACAGACAATCCGATAGAAAAATGGGCAAAAAACAGGGATAGGCTTCTGCAGGATGGACAATAAATCATAAGAAAAATGCTCAACCTCATTGGTGACTAGGAAAACAAGTTAAGACTGCAATAAGATACTCTTTCACTCTATTATTAGATTTGTATTGTTAGGCTTAAAAAATTTTTTTTAATAAATTTTATTGGGGAACAGTGTGTTTTTCCAGGACCCATAGCTCCAAGTCAAGTCGTTGTTTTCAATCTAGTTGTGGAGGGCGCAGCTCAGCTCCAAGTCCAGTCGTCGTTTTCAATCTAATTGCAGGAGGCACAGCCTACCATCCCATGTGGAAATCGAACCGACACCCTTGTTGTCAAGAGTACTTGCTCTAACCAACTGAGCCATCCAGCCACCCATTGGTAGCTCAGCTCAAGTCATTGTCTTCAATCTAGTTGTAGAGGGCGCAGCTCACTGGCCCATGTGGGAATTGAACCAGCAAATTGTTCAGAGCACGTGCTGTAACCAACTGAGCCACCTGGCCGCCCCAATTTTTTTCATTTTTAAGATATGGAGAAATGAACTCTCTTATGCTCCCACCAACAACTATTTAAAACAGCATACATTTATCCCAGAGAGCTGAACTAAGCAAGTCCATTCCTAGACATATACCCAGCACACGATAACCAGCCATGTGTTTCTATGTAATACACATAAACACACTACTGTATATTCATTGAATGGAATATTCTTCTGCTGTGAAAATGCATGAAGAACAGCTACAGCCATCTATCTATATGGATAAATTTCATCAACTATGTTGAGAGAAAAGATGGCAGAATGATACATTAAGTAAGTCGTCCTTAAACTTTTTGATCTCCCTTTACATTCTTCAAAATTAATAACCTAAATAGCTTTTGTTTGTGTAGATTATATCAATAGAATCCATAGATACTCATTGATCAGAGGTTTTCAACTGGGGATGATTTTGCCCCTCAGTGACATTTGGCAATGCCTGAAGACCTTTTTGGTTGTTACAACTGGGTCAGGGGTATACTACTGGCATCTAGTGGGTAAAGATGAGATATGCTGCTAAATATTCTACAATGCACAGGACAACCCCACAGTGAAGAATTATCTGGTCCCAAATGTCATAGTGTCAAGGTTGAGAAACTATATAGATATTTTCCATATTCAAAATTAAAATTAAGAAAATTTAAAATTTTTATTGTTTCATTAAAAAAATAACCCCATACAGGTTAACAGAAATCATATGTTTTTATGAAAAAAGAACTATTTTTCAAAATATTCAGTGAGGAGTGACACTGTTTTGGATTTTTGCAAATCTCCCTCATGCCTCACCTAATAGAAGATGGCTAAATTTTCATATCTGCTTCAGTATTCAATCTGTTGTAATATATTGTTTTGATGGAAGCATGTGAAGAAAATATGATCTCACATATATAGTTAGTTGAAAAAGGGAGAAGTATTTTAATGATCTCTTCAGATGATTGAGGATATTCTTCTTTGAGACTACACCAAGACTCAACAAATGGTGGTTTCAAAAACGCTAGCTGCAGCATGGAATGTGAAGGCATACCTGTGAAGATTTCCTCCTCAGTTACATTGGAATCCATTGGTCTATTTTATATTTTACTGGATCTTTTGGCAGGGATGATTTTGTAACATCATGGATTAGTCACTTAGAAAATATTGATTCTGAGTTATGCAGATTTCCCAAATGTACAGTGAAGAACTCCTCTACTTGTGAGAAAATGAGAACACAAAAGCAAATTGCATCTTAGTGTTTCTTATAAAAATAGTTTTGACCTCTCAATTCCCTGAAAGGGTCTCTGGATCCCCCAGGTATCTCCAAGCTACACTTTGAGAACCTCTACATTTAGCCATTTATAGATAATTTGAAAAATATATAATTAGCTATATAATGTTTAAGATACACATGTGCTAAAAATAAGTAAGGGAATGATGCACAACTTAGATGGTTTCCTCTTGGGAGGTAGAGGATATAATTGGGAGAGGCACATAGGGTGATAATGTTTTGCGTTATATAGAGTGGGTACACCCATCATCTTATTGTTCCCTATTTTTACATAGATGTGCACGCCTATATATGTCAAATACTTCATAACTTTTCTAACTGAAAGAAGAAAAACTACAGACCAATTATAAAAAGCATAAAATTTAAAATAAAGTATCTTTAAAGCACATGATCATGCCAGTAGATTGGAAGACCATGGGGTCAATTAGATAAATCTTTGAAAAGACAATCTTGGGCTATACTGCTTCTAGTTTGAGGAAGGTGCTGTAGGCAGAATTATGGCCCCCAAAGATGTCCTTGTCCTAATCCTGGAACCTATGAATGTTACTTTATGTGACAAAAGGGATTTGGCAGATGGGATTACGTTAAGGCTCTTGAGATGGCAAGATGATCCTGGATTACCCAGTGGGCCAGGTAACCACAGGGTCCTTATAAGAGGGGTGCAGGAGAGCCAGCGTGAGGACCAGAAGCAAAGAGAAGGAGTGATGTGAGGAAGGGCCATGAGCCAAGGCCTGCGGGCCATTCTGGAAACCCAAAAAGGCAAGGAAACCAAGTCTCCCCTGCAGCTTTCAGGAGGAACAAGTCCTGCAGGTTTATTTTGTACTCCCAAATTTCAGACGTGTGAGAGCATAAATTTGTGCTGTTTTAAGCCACTAAATTTGTGGTAATTTGTTACAGCAGCAATAGGAAACTAATTCAGGTGGGAAGGGTATTTTCTGTTTGTTTGGTTTTTATATACAGGAGACTCAGTTACTAGGGGGAATTGGTTAATATGTGGCATGTGTAAGCCCCCAGAGTGGGTGTGCGCTGGGCTACTGAGCTGAAGTATAGGACTGTTGATAGGGTACAAATAAGTCTGTGAGGTGACAGTCCAAGGAAGGGCCTAAGGCCATCTCAGTCTATTAGCAGCCTGAGTGACATGTGAGTTTGGACTGGAGTCTTGTCTTGTCTTCCGCTTTTCAACCATCTTCCTTCAGAATGGAAATGGACACCTCACAGCTGATTATAGATCCTACCTAACGTGGAGGTGTTTTTACCATTGAGGCCAATTTTATTTGACTTGGAAGAGAACTTCCAGCCAAGAAATAGCCACCAGGGGTCTCCCTTCTTCAGTCTAAATGTCTGAAAGCCTGTGAGGAAGTAGTTTCTTAAAGCACTTCCAGAAAGAGGACAGGGAGACAGTCATTGCCTTCTTCCTTAGTCAGCAGATTATGAAACTCCATACACCTGGTGTTAGGTCACAAGCAGAACAGCTTTGTGAGCGCATCTTGATTTTGATTTAAGACTAAGACTCAAGGAAGACATTTTGAGAAAGTAAGGTAAAACTTTCACATGGCAGAAAGGAACATGAGGCAACAAAAAGGAGTTGTAGCAAAATTATAGGTGAAAACCCCTTTTAATTCTGTAATCTTGATTTTTAAAAATGTTTCCTAAATGATGGAGAGTTTGTGCCCCTAAAGTGAAGATGCTGCAGGACCTTATGTGCATTAAACAATGGGCAATGACCAGAAGTTCTCGTGGCATTATGTTCTGTGGGGGAGGAAAGAAAGAGAGGCTCCAGGGTTTGGTTACTTTTTGGAGAATTTATGTTTTAACTTCAAATATAGTAGATTATTGTCATGAATTTAATATTCAAAGTCTCAACTGCTCCCAACTCTGGAGGTTCATGCGACTTTGTAACTATTGATTCATATAAATTTGAATCCTGAACACTGCAAGATCTGTGTTAAGCAAACCCTAGGAAGATTAGCCCCTGGGCCTGGTATTTGTACCCTGCAACAGCTCTTTTCTTATTGTTTCTTCAAAGCTTTAATGTGGAAGATTATATTACAGGGCTGTTTATAAAGGTCTCTGACTTTCTCCTCCCAACTTGACGGGTCTGTGAGGTTACAGGTAGACTGAGAGTGGATATTGTAACCAAACAGCTTTCAGTGCCCCCAAGAAGTCAGCATTCATCCAAAGCAGTTACTGGAAAATAGGGGAAGTCCTGGGAAAGTTCTCACATTGCCCCTTACTGTAGCCATGTGATTCTGAAGCTTTCTGCCCAGAAACCTCTTGTAATAGGGAAACAATGCTGCCTGCTTCTCTTTAAGCAGACTGGATCATAGTCATGAGACCGTTTATGTCAATCAAGTAACCATGGTTGCCTTCAGTGACCATGTGTCAACAGCACAACCATTTATTGATCCCTGGATCCTGAAATCCAAGCCTGAAGCTAAATCACAGTCATCCCAAGTAACTAAACTCAGAGTAGATTAAAGAAGGATGCTTTCTTATGGGTTTCTACATGATAGCAGTATAAGTATATTGTTCTGGTAAAAACATTCCTCAAATAATTAGCGGCTTAGTCACTAACAGATTTTAAACCAACAGTTGAAACTACATAAAACCAGAATTACAGGATTTGCATGTCATACACAGGGTGATCGTTAAGTCTCTTCTTCCTTTCACTGTTCTAGAGTAGTGCCTACATCCCCGCTCGCCAGCAGCCAAAGAAATCAGGAATAGCAAGAGTCACCTTTGACTTGTACAAGTTGAGTCCCAAGGATGTCATCGGTTGCCTCAATGTGAAGGCCACCATGTATGAGATGTATTCGGTGTCCTATGACTTCAGGTGTACGGGGCTCAAGGCCCTGCTAAGGTAACGGACATCGGGGTCAACTTTGGGATCTGGAAAATGCACCTGGCTCAGTCCAGAGGGCTGTCAGCTTGCTCCTCTGCATTCCCAGGGCCCAGCCCTGAGGAGGCCCTGACATGAGCAGCAGCTGTTGAAGTTCACTCTAATTAATATTGTCATACAGAAGTTTAACTTTTATGCCAGACTTATTTCAGAAAACAGAAAGTCTTGAGCCAAAATATACATTTTTTTCTCCAAAGACCATTAAATACAATGGGAACAAAAAATTGAACAAATATAAAGAACAACCAAATTTATTTTAAAAACTAGAGCTATGCATTTTAAAACCATAATTCTAAACAACAACACTAAACCAGAGTCATAGAGATTCTGACCTGGCTTGTACAGAGTAGCCACCCAAACCTGGATTAGTACTCTTTTGCATGTATTTCTGTATTATTGCTAACTTGAAGCTAGTGGTAAGGTGGCATGGAAACATAGCTGGGGCTGGGCTGGCTACAGAGCATCCCAGGGAAGCCTACAGAAGACAGATCCCCAGTCTGTACCCCAACCTATTTGAACGAATTCTGTATGTTCACCAGAATCACTCCATGTATATAACCAGGATAGAAACCTTGCCACTGAGCCCTGGACTGAGAGGGACACCTGCAGTCCCTCCCAGGCTTGCAACCAGCTATGTGACATTTAACAGGTTGCTTAATTTCTCTGAGCCTCAGTTTCATCATCTTTAGAATGAGAAGGTTGCTTCCAAGTTCTTCATGATTGCACAGGCTGTAAATATACCTAGATCTAAACCTCCATTGAATTTGTCATTGATCCTCTACAGCACTAATTCTCTGTAGAGGGATGGATGGAAGGAGAGACTGACAGTGACGGAAGGTCTTTAAAACTGATCTCAAAACATTGCAACTGCTGACTCCAGTGCTTTTTGCACAGCCCCTCTGGGCAGGGGCCTGTCTGCTTCTCTGAGGGCACTGGCTCATTCTCTCTACTGTCCCAGAAGGACTGCTCTGATCTTCCTAGAGCATAGCCAGGAGGGGAAATGCTTTGGAAATGAGACTGCTCTCCTCTAACAGGTCTCCAGGCCCTGGCACAAGGTCAGCTTGGCGGTAGCTTCCGCATGGCCCTTTCCCACTTAGAACCATCAGCGGCCAACTCCTAGACAACTGTTACTGTCCTAGTATTTAAATCTTGACTCTTAGGAGAGCCTCCTCTTTTTGCTAAGATGGGAGATAATAGCTTGATTGCTTGACTGTTAAAGTGAGACAAGACAGTTACAGTAACTTAGAGAAGTATAATGAGGAAGTAAACCTCACCCAAAATTCAGCCTTCTTGTCACTAATTCTTAGCATTTGAAAAATCTAATGATACCACAGATAGCCACAGAAGTCAAAAAGACCCCCAGATCGAAGGCATTGCCTGCTGGAGCCCCATTGTGGGATGTCAGGAGCAGAGGGCTGTCCCAAGTGGTGCAGTTGAGCCCCAGATTTGGCTGTCCTTATGAAGTGACAACCTTTAAAACTGGAATGAAACCCTTTAGCTTTGGATTAGGTAGAGAATAAGATTTTCAGTTAGAGCTACTTTTTTAGTCTGAAATAACATGAATGTCAGACTCAGCCTTAGATGCCACAAAAGGGTCTAGTTGGGATGTCCCAGCCACCCTAAGCAAACTGGGTCGTAGGACCATGATTGCAGTTTTTATAAGACTTTCCTTCAGCCTAACTTTTCCTTTCATACCTGACTTGATGGATTTCAGTAACAAGCCTGACACACCCCAGGCCACCAGAATAAGCAAGTGGCCAAAGGATAGGACATAGTGTGTACTCTCAGGAGCATAGTTTGCCTATTGAGCACTTTCTAGTTACTGAACAATAGGCCATGTTTGAAAGTGGCTAGTGAAAAGGTAGTCCTGGTCAGTGGCATCAGCTTCACCTGGGAGCTTGCCAGAAATGCAGAGTCCCAGCTCCTGCCCAGACCTCCCCAGTCAGCAACTGTATGTTAGTGAGCCCAGCAGGGATGGGGGATGTGAGCATGGCCTGCTCAGAGAGCATGTTTGGGGCGGGGGGGTAGGAGGCAGGTTGGTAGAGGAGGGGTGCAGACTGTGAAGAATTCCCATGCCCTGTGTTTCTCACTGGCCCAGAACTCCAAGCCTGATGCATGCCCTTGTCCCCTCTGTTGCAGGAGCCTGCTGCGATTCCTGTCACATGCTGCCCAGGTGACTGGACATTTTCTTATATACACGGGTAAGCACATGCTCCGAGTGCTTGGTGACACGGAAGAGCAGACTTCTCCCAGGCTACGCTCCAGGCAGAAATTCAGGGTTGAATAGAGGTTCAGCTGGCCTTGGCCCTTACATTCCCTCTCAAATGACAAATTTTGAAGATGCTTATGTTCACCTATGCACTATATACACGTGTACTTGTAGGCTGTCTGTCACTTCTGCTCAGGAGTGGTACCCAGGTGAAAGAAAAGAGGCTTGATGGCACATGACATGGGATGCCCTGAAGGGGAGGAGGTGTGTAAGGGACCCATGCGGGGAGGAAGGGATCCAAGAGCAGGAATGTCTTGGAGGGCTAAGGAGCGCATGCACATGCATTAGGCCCTTTTGGCTCCTCACCGGCAATAAACCAATCACAAGAGTTACTTTTAATGTGTGTAATACTTTCTAGTGTGTCTTTCATATTCCAGTAAAACTTTCATAGAAAAGCAAAACTCAGCCAGAAATCTGATAACAGATATAATCGCTTTTAAGTCTTTACTAGTACTTAGTGCAGCAGAAATAAGGCGCTGTCAAATGTTACAGTGGGTTTTTTTTTTTAATGTGGGTCCTGAATGAACTCAAAGGGACCCAAAAGCTTACAGAAGGTCTTTAAGCAGCACTTTTAGCCTTTTTCTTTAAAAAAAGAAAAAGAAAAAGAAGGAAAAAGAAGAAAGAAAGAAGGAAAGAAAAAAAGAAAGAAAGAAAGAAAGAAAGAAAGAAAGAAAGAAAGAAGGAAGGAAGGAAAGAAAGAAAGAAAGGAAAGAAAGAAAGAAAGAAAGAAAGAAAGAAAGAAAGAAAGAAAGAAAGAAAGAAAGAAAGAAAGGAAAGAAAGAAAGAAAGAAAGAAAGAAAGAAAGAAAGAAAGAAAGAAAGAAAGAAAGAAAGAAAGAAAGAAAGAAAGAAAGAAAAAGAAAACAGCTTGAAACCTAGACCATCATACTGGTGGACCATGTCTTCACTTCCTAATGCTGCTGTATTCTCAGTCGGGACCCTTGGTTGCAAGTGACAGAACTCTGACTCAGACTGCCATGAGCCAAAAGGCATCCGAGGAGAGCAGCGGTGGCTCAGTGCAGGCACAATGGATACGGGCACTCAAACAAAACGGCCAGGAATCTGTCTCTCCAGTTCGTGGTCCTGTTTTCCTCTGAGTTGGCATCATCTTCAGGCAGGCCCTCCTCACATGGAAGCTAGAATGTTAGCCCCATAGCAGTCCTGGGCTGACTCTCAGCGGGATGCCCTGAACCAGGCCCCTCACCAAAGTCACTGTAACTGATGTGACCTGCAGGGCCACATGACATGAAAGGCTAGCCCCAATCCTACAGTCCAGGTTGGGAGACGTGGCTCCCCAAAGGAAATGGGAGTGCTGTTACTAGAATAAGGGTAACAGATGCTAGAAGACAACTCTATTCAGATTTGTGGGTTTCCTATTAAGAAATGTTGCTGTGGTTACCTTTCTCCTTTGCTGGCTGACAGCTCAGACACAATGAACAGAAACCACAGGCTATCTGGGAGCAAGGGTTCCCTGCACCCCACACCATTCCTGCAGATCCTGCCCACTGTCAAATCTTCCTTGGTGAGCCTAGATGTTTCCTCCCTTCACAAACACAGTCCAGAGTCCCCCTCTGCAATCTCTGTGAGCAGCATTCACTCCATTCCTGGGCTCACACTGTGTCTGAGCTGCCTACTTGGAGAAGTGGATTGGGAACCAGTGACTGGCAGTAAAGGAATCACTGCAGCATTCCTCAAAACTCAGCCTCTTTTGCTGACACTGAAAAAATGTCATAGTGAAAAATGCATCACCCCTTCCCCTTCTGTTTGTGTTCTCCTAGAATAAGCCACAGCTGTTGGTAGAGGGAGTTTCACAGACTGCTCAAATGCAATCTCGGTGATGTCTGTAAGAGCTTCCTTTGTAAATTGTTTGCTATATAAGGAGATCCACTGAGAGCCCTTCCCACCACCCGCCCACTGCTGAAGTCAGGGCAAAGGAACAGCGCCCCAGAAGCTGCTCAAATCTTAGGCCAGGCGGGGACTCAGAGACACCTTCCCGGAGCGCTCGCGCCTGCCTCTCCCTGACTGTGGGCTTGCGTCACTTCCCAAGGATTCAGCAGTCCTGGAAAGTGTCTGCCTGGCTTCCAAAAAAGGAATTTTCACTGAAGTGCCTGATCCTGTTGACTCAGCTGATGCTCGCACTTGGCATGTCCATTTCCTCATGGTATCCAAGAGGTACCAGGGCCTGTTTTAAGAGGGAATAAAGCAAAAGGAGAATGTGGAATTGCCTTCTCATCACGGAAACGGGGGTTAATTCAAAAGAAGGACTATTTAGAGTTTGAGAGTTTCTGAACACGCTGGGACCTTCCCCCTACCCTGCGACTTACTGGGATAGATTGGGATAAAAAGGCCTCTCCAGAACTCTCCAGAAGGGTCATGGGGGCTCTAGGTACAAATGCACAGGCCAGTAGAGAGAGGGCTGATTCTGCTGACATCAAAGGTTTTGGGGAGCCCTTTGTGAGATTGTTGAAGAGAAAAAAGTGGCAGAATTAAAACCTGCTCCATTTATAGGAAGGGTCTCAACAGGTGCTACTCCCTCTCATCTCTGGTTCATATTAGGTGATGTGCATTCCAAACATGACACTTTCTTGTTCTAATCTTAGCTTCCCTACAACCTCCATTTAGCCCACTAGCTCAGAGAAAGGTGTGGTCCTGTGATTGGCAGGAGTGAGCTGGCTGGCCTCAACCACAGCCCCACCAGCTGCACAGCAAACTGCACCGGGCAAGGACTCTGCAGAGAAGGTGCTACAGGTCTTTGGATGTGACCAATAACTAAGTCATTCACTGAGTCCACTCCGGTGGCATGTATCCCTTTCAAGGGCTCAGGGTCTTTCTGTGTGTCCTCAGTAGGGCCAAGGTACAGAGCTCCAGTTCACTGACTTCTTGAATCATAATTCAGAAAAATGGGAAATCATTCCTATGAGCTCAGCGTTCACAATTCTTCTTCCATGTCTATGTGCACCTTCATGTTTATTAGTGTGACCCCCTTTTTGGTGTGCACATAAACTGCTATCTCCACACCCCCACATGTCTTGGTGTGGGCTAGATTTAAGGTGCACTTTCTGCTGTGAGCAGGGGACAGAATACAGGCCTGGCATGAACTGAGGGTATATAAATGAAATATTCTAAAAGCCATTACCTCATGGCCAAAGACAGACTCTGGTTAAAATCATTCTGCTCTGAGCAGACTTCCCTGCTGTAAGTCTCTCCTTTCATCTATAAAATTAGGATCAAAATGAAGTGGTTCAGGCATTCCATTCCCAGACAGGTTCTCTCGACACAGGTTTTAAAAACATAAACAATGTGCCTTTTGTCAGCCTGGTGCTTTTCAGTTCACCACAATTCTACTCTTCTTCTCCCTGACTCTGGAGAAGACATCTGTTACCTAGTTGGCTCCTGGGCCCCAAGTCAATGACATTGCTGTAGGCTTTTTCAGACGGGGATCCTAATACTGGGATCCATTTCCTCAAAGGGAAATTTTTCTCCTCACGTGGCACAGCGTCTTCTATATGCTTTTCTTCCTATGCAGAGAGGTCAGATGGGCATGCCCACCCTTCCAAGCTGCCCTCCTCAGAGAGGGCCACAGCCTGGCCCTGTCTGCACATGGCCCATCTGGGGACATGGTGTTGCTTTTCTTCAGTATCCTGGACCTGTGGGAATGTGGGCTTTTCTCCAGGAAGCTGGGCCCAGCCTGCTCACAGCCCAGGGATGAGCCACAGAAGGTGATCTGCCTCCAAATCTGAGGGGTGCTGTTCCCATTCAAGGGATCTCCTATCTCCTGCTCACACTCCTCTGTGATAAATAAATCATATTAAAGAAAACTTTGGGCAGCATCCCTTATCCTTTCTGTCACTGTTCTCTTTCGAGACCCCTGTTCCTTTCTAAAATTATCTTAGTTTCTATAAAGGAGTTGGAACCACCTCACATGAACAATTGCAGACATTTGGCTCATTTTGAGAATTCATACTTTTGTCACACCCTGAGAAAAGCACAGTCCCGAGGGGACTTGTTCTGCTGAAGCCTCAAAGAGGACCAGAGTCAAAACATGCCACAGATAGTTTCCAACTGCACAACTGCCCCACATGCTTAGAGCAGGTTTAAGTTGCAGTCCACAAACTCAAGTGGGCAAAGAATGGAGCTTTTTCACCCAACACTTATGTGTGTGTGTGGTAAAATATGAACATTTAAAGAAGTGTGACTTTTTAAATCTGATTGTCAGTGCACTACTTTTTATCTCAAGCCTCCATTCCACTGAGTGGTCTCCCCCTACCTCACAAGCGTTCTGGGGGCTAACATGCCAAGGCACTGGGGGACATACTCTTACCATCAGGGATAGTGTCCTACCCAGGCCTCCCCCAAAATGCCCACTGACTGTGACCTTTGGGGGTCAGTCTGTGAAGGTCGTACTGCATCTTCCCCGCACCTCCTGCCTGGAGTCTTCACACCACAACTGCTCAGAACCAGGTCCTCCCCGGCCACAAAGGCAAACATTCTGCACCCACACAGCCACTGTAGTTGGTCTCCTGGTCTGTGCTGTCTGTGGATGACTCCAAGGCAGAGGACAGGGTAAGACAACTAAGATGGGGTTACTCTCAACCCACACACCAACACTTGCTTCATTGGTCTATAGTTAGATCTCAAACACACAAACAAAAACCTAAAAGGATGTTGCTTTGACTTGCTCCTGTATCTAATTCACCAGGTTAACTCCAAATGGTATTTTGCTTTAGAAATAATCACCTCTCTTCTCAAAAGATAAAATGTGCCTAGGTGAGGGCATTTGGGTCAGGAAGGTGGCTCCCAAGAGCCTAGCTGTCCTCTCAGCACAATTCACAGATGTCATGGGTGTATGTAGAGACCCTCCCACCCCACACAGGACCCTAATGCTCTCTCTAAACCCTTGGTATGAACACTTTTGGATGACATCCCTTAAATAAGTAGCTCATTCCACTTGTGGACAGTTTGGGTTTTTTTTTAAAGCCAAATATCTAGACCCCCTAAAACTTCCACCTACAGGTTCTACTTCTGCACTCGAATTATATAAAAGAAATCCTACCCACTGACCCAGGCAGTGCCTTTAATCTTCTCCAAAGTACTCTGCCCCAGCCTCTCCCATCCTTTCACCAGTTGCCTGGGCAGTGACTTGGACCCTCTCCTCTGTGCAGCCAGTGTTGAGTTCCTCTCAAGAGTTTCTCTTATGTTTGGGGACTGGGCTCCAGGCTATCCCTTGCTCAACCCTGTCTCGACCCCAAAACCTGAAGGAAGCCTCTGTCAAATCCGGACTCCTTTCATTAACGTCTTTTACTTCCCCTGCAGTATCTGCCAGCATGGGTGAAACGCGTTAAATAACAACCCAAGCTTTCTATAGAAGCAAAACAAAGGGAGCTGGTATCGCTGCGGGGGTCCCTGCTTAGAGTGGGTTGCTCGGAATCCTGGGGCGCTGGCCAGCGGGGCGCTGGCTGGGGGAGGCCAGGGCTGCACGTGCAACCTGGGGAAGCTCCTGGAGGGGGACAAAGCTGGCCTGGGACGCTCTGGCTCTGAGCCATCAGCGGTGGGAAGGATCTCCCCAGGATCCTTCCTAGAGCGACCTCTAAACCCCCTGCCAGCCTTCTGGGGGGTGCGGAACCGGAGTGCGCTCACGCGCAGGCTCGCCCCCCACCCCCACCCCGCCCCTGGCGGTGCTGGAAGCCTCAGGGAAGTTTTTGGGGTGTGTGCGTGTGCGTGTGCACTGTGTGCATACGTGCCTGCATGCCTTGTGCGTGTGTGTACGCATGCTGTGTGTATGTGTGTATACTATTCACGAGTGCCTGTATTGTTAGGCAGAGACATGAAATTGCTAACAAGTTCACCGTGAGAGCTAGGAGAGGAAGGAAATCCCAAAGAAGCTATTATTTTCATTACAACATTATTTAAATACTATGCACAAACAAAATCAGATATGAACCCTTTATGCTGATAGCTCCACACAACTATTTTTAAATTTACATAATAAATATAAACAAAACTAAAAAAACACTAAATTCAAATTAACAACATTAATTTCATGGTGTAGTTAAATAGATTGTCTCCGCCGGCCGAATGGCGCATTGGTTAAGAACTGGCTTGGGATGCCAGAGGGCCTCGGTTCGGATCCCACATATGAGGGCCAGTGACACTGCCCTCTACAGCTCAGATGCTGAACAATGACTCAACTTGGAGCTGGGCTGCCGTGAGTTGCCAGCGACGGCGTAGGCTGCAGCCACTGCTGCAGTGGGTTGCCATGGGCTACTGTATGTGGCCAGCAGCCAGCGTGAGCGGCCAGCAGCCGCAGTGAGCGGCCGTCCAGAAGCCGGCGACTGATCTGCCTCGCCCAGGAAGAGCGCAATGATGGTGCCAACTTGAGCCAGTGAAGCAACGTCCTCCACAACTAGACTGAAGAGCAAAACGACAGCAACTTGTCTGTTCCCCTTCCCCCAGTTCCCCAGCACTGTTCCCATCCCCCAATTCCCCAATAAAAATCTTAAAAAAAAATAGATTGTCTCTTCTACCACTTTATTATTTCAGGCTACTACAAAACTTTTTTCATACAGCCACTTTCACTTGACACTATCCCATCATCTGCCAGCACCTGATGTCTTCACATAGAAAGCACTCAACAAATGTTTGTTGATTCATGGAATAAATAAATGAAGAAAGGAAGTCTACCTTTGCTCTTTTCTTAGTAGAATTAATAAGCACAATAATACAGAGGACTGAAACACACACACACAATATGTAAAGTTATCATCTAAATTAAAATACAATATAAAACTTCTCAGAGGGAGAATTAGATACCTCAGAGAAATTTGGCTTTTCTGGAAACAGCAGTGTGAGGCCCTACACTGGAACCCTCTCATTCTCCCCTCCACCTGGCTGCCCACCTCCAGTTCTGCTTTAAGCAGGGCACAGCCTCCCTGTGCATAACTTTGAAATCTATATAACAAAATAAAATATTCACTCACTCCAAATCAGATCTCAGGTTGGCTTTGAGGGTGAAAGGTCACAAAGAATGTGAGACCATTTTTTATTTTTTTACATACAGAATTTTTAATAAATATACTTGGTGAGAAAAAGAATGCTCTACAATGCTAAATTTCATGTAAATCAGATAACTTAGTAAATATAAACATAAAAATATCAAAAGGGGAAATACGATTTAAATAATCTCACAAAAGAGCAAGCACATATCTTAATCTTTTTTTTTTTTTAAGATTTTATTGGGGAATCAGGGAAGGTGAACAGACAAGTTGTTGTCCTTTTTTGTTCTTCAGTTAGCTTTGGAGGACGTTGCTTCACTAGCCCATGTTGATATTATCATTGCGCTCTTCCCTGGTGAGGCAGTCGCTCGCCAGCCATTGGATGGCTGCTCAAGGTGTCTCTTTGCAGCTCTCGAAAGCGCACGCCCGCTGCCGACCAATCCCATTGCATCCTACGCCATCACCAGCGCCTCACGGCAGCCCAGCTCCAGGTTGAGCTGTTGTTCACCATCTTAGCTGTAGAGGGCGCAGCATCACTGACCCTCAGGTGGGATCTGAACTGGGGCCCTGCTGCTCAGAGCTGGAGTCCCAAGCCAACTCCTAACCAACACGCCACTCGGCCGGCCCATCTTAATCTTTATATATGAAAACAACCATCAAAATATAAAAGGAAAAGAAATCTCTTTTGTAGAACAATATATTTCATAGTTCCATCTGTTGATGATTTCAGTTAAAAAAAAATTCTATTCTAAACACATAAGTAGTCTCACTCTTACCAACATATATATTTTAATCAACAGAAGAATTTAAACTATTCATTCACATTGACATAAAGTGACAGCATTTTTGTTGCATAGCAGTATTCCTCACTGGCACTAACAATGGAAGATGGAGGAAGTAGATTTCTGAATTCAATTGTCAGCTGAAGAATCTAAAATTCAGACAAAAATAGGCCTCAGGCTTAGCTCTTCCCAAGTAACACAAGTGTTAATCAAACAAACATTGCCAACTTGTGGGAGGCTGTGGAAAAAACATGCAAAAATACTATGTTGAATATTAGCTTTGTGTTCCTTTCTACTAAAGATATCTAGTGGGCATGTTCTAAATTATATAGGGCTTCAGTATAGATCAAAATTAGCACCTGTAATATGAAGCTAATATTATAGTGTCAACACATCTTGAGATCTTCTAGCCAACGTTTGGTTGTAAATATTTGGAAGAAGTCAGTCAAACAATAACAATATGCACATCCAAAATTAATATTTCTAAAAGAAATCTTCATGTACCAGATATCTACAAACTAAAAAGTACACACAGTGGAGGCATAATAAATACCTATTTGTTGGCTGACTGACTAATTATACATACTGTTTAAAAAAACCTGGGTAATTCAGGTTATATATATATATATATATATATATATATATATATATATATATATATTTCTCTAATAACATCTTGGCAACATATATATGCTGCCTGTCATACTTAAAGCTGTATTACCAAGCTAACATATGTAAAGTATCAAGGCAGTTAAAATTAAGTTTTAAGTAAAAAGTTCTGGCTTCTTACATAAAAGAATGAACTTTGAGGTTTCTTCAAGAGTCAGTTCTCATATATAAAAAATTTAATGTTAATGGAACAATACTTATCACTTAAAATTTTTAGACAATATAGAAATTTACAAAAATGTTAAAGTTTAAAACCACTTCACATAGTTGGAGGAAAAAAGCAAAAGGATTAAATTGAATTATGACTTTGAATACATTTATAATCAAAATTCACACACACA